CTAAATTATAACTTCGTCTGTAAAACAACACACGAACCTCATATTGAACTTATTCTATTCGGATAATCGAAAATCTGGATAATCGAATGTATGAAAAAAAAACGATTTTCGTACATATTACATAATACTTAATGTTGGTGTTTAATTAAAATCAACTAAAGACAAATCAACATTTATTTTATCTTCAAACGATAACACCACTCTCTTAAGCTTTGACATTTTTAGCACAAACGTGACACGACACAGCGGAGTAACGATTGGTAACTATAACTTAAAACAAAAACGCGGCGACAGCGAACGCGCAGGGCGAGGGTGGGTATGTCGCCATGGGTAGTCCGGATAATCGCGAATCCATATAACTGAGGGCCGGATACACGAGTCTCTTTGTATTTTTTCTCTTTCTTTGTATTTGCACGAGACCAAAACTCAAAAAAATATTCTAAGTCTGCTTTTGTCATGCCTAATATCTCCGGAATTGTTATAACCGAATTTAATGAGACTTACTGATGGATAGATGAAATAAAATTCCTTTAACGTAATTGTCGTAGGCAAGCGGAAATGGACGATTTCATGCACATAACATCCGTCAACCCCCATAATCTCCGACATGATCAGCTTATTAGTATTGACCTTGTCTAGTTTACTGTTTCCACGCTAATAGCTTTCATATTTTTATAAATATAACCATATTAAGCAGATAATTATTATTTAGATAGTTAATACTTTAGAACATCAAAGTTTTTGATGAAAACATTTTGACGATCTTTTTTATATTATTAGGTATATCGTTTGTAGTTCAGAGACAATTTCGATTTTTCTTATATTCCTCATTATAATTATTTCAAATTTTTCCAAAGTAGTCAGTCCACATATCTCAGTGTATGTGTTAAATTATGTAACCTAAAAGTTTATAAGCGACTCTTTCTGTCAGTACTCAGTAAAACTGCATTCCGGGTAGCTTCTCCATGGATTGACATTACTGACACTTTTTTTTTAAATAAATTCACAATTTAAACGTGCTCGTTTGTGTTTGATTTGTATAAAATAAAAATTATAAAATGAATTTCATATTTTAAGTTTTTTTCTTTAGTTTCGCCTTGATTAAATAAACACCGTATTGCTCAATAAATATTTTCTTAATTTTAATTCTAAAGCTTAAATTCAATGAGTTATTTAAAAGGTTGTAATACGACTATCTTATTGAATTTCATCCTCGCACTTTATTTCCTTTGGTAATTTAATGCTGCAGCTCTTTCTTTCCATCTCTATTATAAACACGAGATCTTAAATTTCTAAACTTTCTTGTTTTGTTACTTTATTTTTGCTTTGTATTTTTGTAATAAGTAGGTACACCTGATAATTTGTGTTGATAATTTACGTTCAAATAATTACTATTTTATAGCAACCTATATGAGGAAGTGATCGTGCAACATACAAATGTAGTGCGCTTGTGACTTTTGGCTATATGTAATAATTTGGCAATAGTCAATTTATTTAATTATTCTATCATTTTCACTTCCCCGTTATCATGCAATGTAGGCAATAACTGTTTTAGCGTTTAAAGTGTTTCGTAAATCAGTAAAAGTGTTGTGGGCGTAGGCACAATGCGACAATTGTCGACGTAATCGTCGTTTTCTATCGGTTGCGGTCGCGAACACTTCGCGCTTGGCTGCTCGTTAATGGTTGACACCACTTCACATCATTCTTCATCAACTAAGCATAGTCAAGACTTAAGTGAAAAATACAGTAAAATATCACTATGCCTTTTGTCTACCCCCCAAAAAAAAAACCATAAAAATACACTTATTTCCTGAGTGATAAAAGTAAAAGTGAGATTGTTTGCTTCATCGTTCATGTACTAACGCCTCTACTAATTACGACATTTGTTACGTATATTTCCTAAGGCATGGTTAATAAGTTTACTATTCATCTTCATTCACGAAATAGTCTCCAAAAGATCACACTTTCTTAGGTTAAGATATTTTAATCTATTACAAAACATATTCTAACATGTCAACAATGTAAAATACGACATATGTACATATTCCTGAAGAGAGCGCGGGATGCTCTGAAGGCCTTATCGTGAGAGGCTTTGAATTTGAACATTTACGTAATAGTGCTTTCTATTTATATACATTATATATCACATTCATTTATTTAGTCCTAACATAATGAAAATAGACGCTGTTATATGGTTCAATTCTGCTAACATGTGACGTGCGGGCTGATTACATAAAAGCTGCTCTCACTCATCACTTCCTTTAAGCCGTATAGTTTCTAACTACAATTTACATTATTGTGAGAGTTTTCTAGATAAATATTATAATACCTTTGCAATATATAGCGTTGTACAAATGTACTTAACTAAGTATTATTTAGACTCATAGTCAAATTTCATGCTAAAGTTACTTAAAGTATACATTTTTATACGAATATATTTATGCACTTTGCATTTATTAAATAACAGAATAGTCCAACTCATTTTACTTGTCAATATTTAGCTCTATCTAATTTTGTCTTTGTGTAGAGTAGTAAATAGAAGCAATGATTTGTAAATCACGGCTACATCTATCGTGATTCCGCTAAATTTGTGCAAATTGTTAACAACAACGTGCGTCTCTAAATGACATAGACATATTAAGAAAAATATCGTTTAAACTTAAACTGTTATCAATTATAATTTCACGATTTACATTTGTAAAAAATAGGTGAGTATATTGTAAGATTGTAAAGAATTTCTGATCATATGCTATGTGCTATTAGTAGCTATCGCTCGCAGCTTCCCTGCGTGTCATGACGATAAAATTGTAGTCTATGGCTCTCTTATCTAAATTCTCCAATACCATTGAAATTCAAAAACAGATATAAAACATTTTCAATTATGTAGTAAGAGACTTTATTGATAGTGTTAACGTTAAATACATATATGGTGGGACATTAACACACAGCACCATGTAGTTCCATGGGATACCATATAGTTGATACACGACTCATATAGATCTTTAAATACATACATATTATTAATATAAACACCCATGACTAGAGTACAAACATTCGCGCTCATCAGACAAGTCAATGCCCGCAGCGGGACTCGAAGCCGCGACCACTGGCACAGCAAGTAGGGTCACTACAAACTGAGCTAATCGTGTCGTTGTTGTTAATATTGTTTTGATTAGGTACTCTTTTCTTACTTAACCAGTGAGGAAATAGTTAAATACAATGAAATCTAATCGAATCACTGTTTATTGTAGGTATATTTATCCTCGGGTATCCTTGCAGTTTTTCTATGCATGTTCTTAAATGGCCATCGTCTGCTGTGTTGCCTACCTACTCATTAAATCAAATGAGACCTCTGTAATTGAAACAGACAATGAGATAAGTTACGTGTGGGTTTAATATACCTACGTATATCTATCTATACGCAGGAGTGTTTTACTAAGAAGCGATTTTGGTGTAAAAAATGCAAACAGAAAATCTATGAATACACATTACAAACTTATTAATTCTATACCTTTTTGATTGTTTCTTCAGTTGTTAGAAAAATATAAAAAATTTACATATTTTGACGCGAGCTTGGGTTTGTCGCAAGGTGATTATTTAAACTCACATAATTTATTTATTTCTGAATCGATTGAAATAAGTACTAAATGTTAAGTAAGCTTACCACAATACATAAGTGAAAACCGCACCCAAATGGGTTAATCCGTTTCTGAGATTAGCGCGCACAAACGCACATACAAACAAAAATTCTAAAAATCATTTTGGGTTCTATTGCGCTAATAAAAACTCCAATAATTAGTTTTATTCAAATATCTTTCATGTACAGACAATGACCAGTCACATTTTTATTATATGTATAGATTATGAAAATCTGATTAAAATGCTAATAATTCCATATTCGTCTACTTAGCATGGTATCTATATTTTTCTATATTATTTTTATGAATTTTATAAAAGCATAAATAATTAATATTTCGATACAGATTAGGTACGTTATTAATATAATAAATTTATCTTTCTTCATAATGAAACCCATGCCTAATAAAACCCGCAATAAAAAACAACTAAAAGCTCAAGTAAAAGTTGAATTTGATGATTAAATTAAACGTAATATAAATAAGTATATTACGTGGTGAAGCGGAAGCGGAAATATCGGTGCTAAACTCTTATTCGCGCTTGACCCATTTTTGACACGATTGAAAATTTTCATAAAATACCTACATATTACAATTTCAATACATTTTATCCATTTTGATTTATAATTTCTAGATACTTAAAAACTAAAAATAAGAATAAAAACGTAGACTAAACAATATTTGTAGTAGTTAACAAAATCAACATTAAATATTAAACGTGTAAATATTTACATAGTCAAAGAACGCGTTACGTAAGAAACTGAGTTCTTACAAAGCGCCGCCATTTTGCGATGAGCCATAATGGTTTTTCTGAAAGTAAGCGGTGTCGTTCAGACTGGACAAAGTTTTTGCAATTCGCGCTTAATAAATAATTTACTTTTCCTTGAAATTATTATTTAAATTAAATACTTTTTATTGTATTTTATATACGTGCTATAAATAGTATATGAAATTATTATTTTAATTACGTATAATATAATTATAATAAATTAATCAGAAAGTATTTATAGCATTCGCACTGTAACTTAATAATTCAAAATTTACAATATAAATAAATGTACATTGTACATAGAGATTATAAAAACATTTTACGGCAATTGTATGTATATTTTTATCAGCCATTGAAGGTAAAAAAGACGATCACGTAACAAACGACCTGTTATTACAACAATGATTTGGCTTAGAACAGTAGTGAATAACTAGTTATCAAGCATTTCCGTCAATTCTCTGTTATTTGTCGTAGTTGTGACTTTTGTTTTTCAGAATAATGTAGCGGCCACGTACATATCATTATTTTATACTTAACTACAAATATTCATGAATTCATTAATATATACCATTATTCTAAAATTAATCTATTTACAGGATGAGCCACTACCGATTGCAAACGCCCATGCACTTCACGCGTCACCGTCGTTGCTGGCGGAGACAGCCTCTGTGCCTGCGAAGTCTAAGCCTGAGCCATCTCCTGATAGCCTGCTGAAAGAAGACCCCTTGAACCACGCAGAATCAAAAGTTGATGAGGATAAATTGCAGGTATTACAATAAGCAATTTAAAAAAAAAATAGGAGTAAAGATAATTCTAAAAATAGCACAAGGAAAAAGGTTACTTGTTATCTAGATTCATTTTTTATTTTTGCCTTCACCACGTAGGTACCTACTTAAGGAAAATTGATATGAATTTCAAAGGTATTCGTCCATTGTGCCACTGGAAAAGTACCGCGATATTAAAATACATACAAGTAGGTACATGTATAATATTTAATTGGTTTACTAACTTACTATAGTACTTGTATACTCATAAGAAAGTGTCATTAGCGTACATATATTTACTCTCAAATCACGCTCAGACAGTTCTATAGTATTACAATTCTTTTACAATTCCTTAACGAGCATACCGGTAGAGACCACATAGAGACTAAGTAATTAAGAAAGCATACGAATGATTCATTACGTAATACGTAAACAATAATCACAATCCACGACTATAATGTACAAATGCAATGGAGTGTGTCTATGCAAGTGGTGACGTCACCAGCTTTCACTTGCTCTGAGCTTCTGCCGGTGCATGGAGGTGAGATGCCCCGCTCTTCGACCGTTGCACTGATTGTGAAAGCGGATATCGCTTAGGCATTATCTTTCACATCGTTTTACTAAGTATAATAAATTAGATGCTTTATGTCCACTTTCTTTGAAAGTTATAGGTACTATTGACAGAAGTTAAATAGACTTATGATTTATGAAAATACAATATTAATAGATATCATTAACCCAGTCAAAATAATAAAACTTGGGTAATTATGTTTTTTCTAAACGCTCTCAGCTTTTTTTTTCTAAAAGAAAGCAAATCGCGTTTAAACGTATTTCATTTCGCTCATAGAAATTACTTTATCGAAATTTCAAATGTCGTAAATCAAAAGTTTCATTCTGAATTATTTGCGGCAAATTCAATCCTAAAAGTTTTACCTCTGCCTAAAGGTTCAGTTTTATTTTAACTCGCTTCTCACCCCATGCCACTGCGATATATTCTGATAAGTGATATCGTTTGTCTTGAGCAATTCTAGTAAATAAAAGCCGTCAGACCTAGGATACTTAATTAGCAAACAGTAGATATTTGCATATAGATTATTACTATTCGATTAAACGATGATACATCTATTTGATTGGTCATATTTACAAACGGGTTATGGAACAATAGTGCGCGGGCGCATTGTCTTGTGCAGGAAGTCCGAGTGCATTGTGGTCAACAAACAGCACAGAACGAGATATTCATTCCAGATATTCATAAAAAAAAATTTTTTTTGAAGTTTTTATATAATTAGAAACTTTTACACCATTTACTATGTCTTTTGTAATTATATATTTCAGAATATCTTTCCATCGTATTTTATAACTATACTATAATGAACAGTTAAGATTTGTTTGTTTGTAGGTTGGGGACACTGAAAACTACTGAATTAATTCTAAAATATTTTTTTATTGTCGACTTCAACACAGGCAAAACTGCAGCACAAAACATGTTAAAAATACTTATATATGTAGTATCAAAACGCAATAAATATATAGGTACAAAAAAACGTATAATACGATGAAAATATATTCTGTAGTTTCAAGCACTCACAGTTTAATCTATTATTTATTACGGGTACAACAGTGCACATTATATCCAAATGGACATTCATTGTGCTTGTTGTTACGGTCGATTATATTCCGCACGAACGGTCACACAGTGTACAGTTTTATGATATTTTGACATTATTTTGTTACGTTCACGTCAGGCAATATTTGCGTGTTTTCATCATTTATAATAATTAACTAGCGGCTCACCCTCGCTTCGCTCGGGTTCGTCGCTAGGTACGTTTTAAATAGATATAAAAAGAAAAAATCTTTCTTTCTCACATTTTAATTATATGTTTTAATACTTACCTATTCCGGACTAAGAGAAATCCAAAAATTAAAATATCATAAAAATTGGAACGCGGTCGAACGGGATAAAAAGTATCCTATGTCCTTCTCCTGGCTCTAAACTACCTCCCTGCCAATTTTCAGCTAAATCGGTTCAGCCGTTCTTGAGTTATAAGCGAAGTAACTAACACGACTTTCTTTTATATATATAGAAGTATTCTATCTAATAAATTGAAAACTTCCTTTCACAAATCGTGATGCTCTCATGACCTTACTCATGTTTTGATTTCCCGCACAGAAAATCGTGACTGTTAAGGCATGAGTATTCGGTGCATCTCCACGAAAATTATGAGATTTAGAATAAGATAATTTGCTTACTTCGGGCTCCTATAAACACAGAAATATCCATCCTATAATTTATTTGTACAGCTAGACAAAATTTAATAATTTTTATTAGTATATATATATTATTAATAGTATATAAGTATTATATAAGGATTGTAAGCGTTTGAGAAAATTTTGCAGTCACGAGTTCAAATTGTGGATACCTGAGTCATTTTAACCATGCGACTATTTAAAAATAATATATCTATGTAGATTTTTATTTATTTTTCAGAAAATCGATGACGAAAAGGCTGAAGCGCCTAATTCGGGCAGCGATGAAAGCTCAGAGTCTGACAGTTCCGGCGAGGAAGATGACGACGAACTTATGCCAAAGTTCACGATGCCCATACGTTTTGACCTCGATGAGCTTGCGGGGGCTTTCTTGGCTAACAATCAAAAGTGAGTGCCTTCTACTCTAAGTTATTATATATATATATATATGTGTGTGTGTGTGTACCTACTTTTGAGATCAAACGTTTTTCATCTTAAATTCAGTTTATAATTTAATTTGACATAATAATATTCTTTTTACAAAAAAATACATATAGACGAACACGGAACCTTCTTTTTGGAAGTCGGTTTAACGCACGAATATTTATTTATTTATGTACCTACCAGAAAACAAAAAAAAAACATAAAACGATGACTTATCTCTTTAAGAGATCTCTACCAGAACCCTCAAGCGTGACAAAATATAAAAATAATAATGAAGTGCGGTGTAGGTACAAACTAGAAACATCAATAATAATATAAATATACACACATACAAATATATATACATACCTACATAGATACATATTTTTATATTCAAATACAAAAAAACTAAATGCATTTCTAAGAACACTTATTAATTCTGCAAAAGTTTTCATGTAAATTTAGTTTTGATTTGGATTTTTTTGTTTTCATTTGTGGTTTCATGTTTTATTTTTAATATTAAAAATCAAAATAGTAATAAAAAACTAATAAGAAGAAAAACAAACTCTAGAACTTTTGCTAGTGGCAATCGAAGAGTTCCACTATCCACTTTCTGGCTCCAGTAAGATTAGTTCGATAGATCGATCGATGGAATTATTGAATTTTCATCCAGATTTCACGTATTTACAAAGTATCTTATTGATATGATAGATACCACTTCATACAATTGACGTAAAAATGTATCACTTTAAATGTAGTATGTATAATTACTAATCTGCGTTATGCTCCGTTGCAGAGGACGTATGAATTGTGTAGTTGAAAGACGCCATGAAGAGGCTATGGAGAAGCGCTTCCCCTTCAACATCATCAGCGCGCTGACGCCGCGCGGCCCGCAGACCGAGCGTATATCAATTATCTGCCATGGCGGAGAAGAGAGGTAAATCATTATATAAATTTTTTCTACCTATTACCTACTACTTAACTCATAAACTCGGAAACTGTTTAGACTATTAAACATAAACACAAAGCTCGACGACCACTTTATATGGATATAATCTATCTATAGGTAATAAAAATGAATGTTTTTATGTATGTTTGTACTCTAAACACTTTCCAAAACATTAATTCATCCATCCATTGTGTTGAACTTTGGTGGTCACAAACGTTCCTGGTTCAAAAAAGATTTGTTCTTTGTATGTTTGTCTTCTATGCGTTTATAAATGATGAACCACTAAAAGTCACCATAAAAAGCGTGATGGAAATAAAAGATAATGTAGATTAAAAGTTTTAAGCCATTCTTTCGCCGACCGACAGAAATTTTTAAAATTGTGTATGTCAGAATTTTAGACGATTATAAATATCATTAGATGTTTAATATGTTTAATCATTAGTGGAATCATTATTGATATCTTTTTATATCGCGGGTATATTTATCTTTAAGACCCTTTAGTATTATTTCATCAGTAGGTATCATTAACCTGATTCCAGATATTTTTCAACCGACTTCAAAAAGGAGGAGGTTCTCAATTCGACTGTATATTTTTTTTTATGTTTGTTACCTCAGAACTTCGTCATTTATTGACCGATTTGGACAATTTTTGTTTTGTTTGAAAGGGTATACTTCCAGATTGGTCCCATTTAAATTTCAAAAAATAATACCACCCCTAAGGGTGGAAAAATAGCTAATGATGGATTTAACCCTCTTTCTAATTGTCATATTGACTTGAAACTTTGCAAGTGTTTCTATTTCCGTTGATAGTACAGTGGTTCGGTATTGTTGACCTGATCTGATGGTAAGGCCAGAAGGTGGATAGGTGGAACTCTTCAACGGTTAATAGTAGATACTTTGAGTTTGGGCTTATTTTGTTTGATTTGACAAGCCTAACACGTTAGAATTCTTACTTTGCTACTACTGTCTACACTAAAAAGGGAAAAATAAAAACTTTTTAACAAAAAAATAAAAACCGACTTCAAACAAAAGCACTAAAAAGTAAAAAATAACTGATTGGTAGTTAACATTTACTATACATACCTAATCAAATATTTTCGAAGTCGGTGTGCATTGGCTAAGTAATTAAAGCCTACCTATTAAATAAATACCTAATCAAATATTTTCAAAATCGGTGCCAGCCCATACAAAGCAAACATAATAATATGTTACGAACTGGTAGTAGACTCATGACGTTCAGTAAAAAATTGTAATAATATAATGCTGAATAAAATATTTTGATTTGATACATAATACTCATTCATAATGAGTATTATCTATTGTCAAAACACGCAATTAAATTATGCACATCTAATATAATTCCACAAGGTCATATTTAGGACGAACATTATTTATGTAAATTTTGGTAATCCATTTTTTTGTGTATTAAGAGTAGGTAAACTGAATAGCTCTATAGCTCTAATATGTATTTAATATGTGAATGATATTTTTACGTTCTTAAAAATTTCATCAAAACATTGTCTTACATTAAAACGTAAATCTACGAGTATACAGTATACATATATATATATATATATATATATATATATATATATATATATATATATATTCTGTATCGCTCATTATAGTAGAAGCATATTGATTCAGTTTTAATGCAAGGAGACTGAGTTTTTCAGTATTACCCCCATAAATGAAAAAAATCTGCATAAAATTTTAATATAGCATAAAAGAAATATTCATCAGCAGTACCTATGCATTTACGATATCTTATATAAACTATTCAAACAGGAATGCTAAGCCTTTGCATTCAGTAATAGTTATGGTTTAATATTGTTTAAATAACAGTAATTCTTGACCGACGATGTTATTTTTGTTTCATAGCATATGAAAGAATTTTCGTTTATTTAAAATGAGCGTTATATATAGTACATATTATATACCTATATAAAAAAGAGTGAGTGAAGCGGATTTAAATGGTCATTCCGGAATTAAAATGCTTATCTTTTTGGGCAATTTTAATATAAGCTAGCGACCACCCTCGCTCTGCTCAAGTTCGTTTTATAGTTACGTTTTAACGTTTAGAATAGATTTTTAGAGATGATATATATTCCCGCAGTAAAAAGTATCCTGTATGTTGACACGAATAACCAGCTGTCATTCATTATACTAAATTTGATTAAAATTTATCCAGTGGTTTTCTCGTTATGTGTACCCCGACAGATATACAGAAAGAAAATTTTTTTAAAACTTTATAGTTTTTAAATTTTTTTCTTTCTTATTAAATTAAATTATTAAATTCAGCCTCTGTATCAATAATAATGAGTATTTCAATAAGATTTTCCAAAAAATATTTAATGTACAGAATCGACTCAGAATTCTATTATATATGTAGATATCTATATTCTTTACTTCTTTCCATGTAAGGGAAGTTCCCAATTACTGTAGATTTCCTTTAATATATTTATAACGATGCATTTTAAAGTTATTAAATGAATATTTGATTTCCTTTATGATTGCTTTTTTGTTTGATTTATCACATAATTGAAAAATCATGAGTAGCATAAAACTTTATAGAAGTTTCATTGTCGAGATGACTATTTTGCAGCTATAATTTCCGTTTAAGAATTATACATACAGGTTTTCTACATTTGATGTGTGTAATTAATGAATCTCTTGTAAAATGAATACTGGTATTAATAATCTATCTGAAAAATAACACGTAAGGTTAAGGCATAAAAAACGTATTAAAAAACCTGGGAAAAGATAGACAGGCTTTAAAATAATATATTAATAAAACAACTGTAACTAATTGAAAACTTATATGTATATTGAATATATATTTTTTTATTTATAAGATTTTAAAAACTCGACTGAGTAAAGTAAACTAAATTAAATGAAAAACGGATGACATATGAATATAGTAGAACTAGCGACTCGGATGAGTTTTATTTCCCTTAGTTGAGAAATGATTGATTCCCCATACAAAGTTCCACCCCCCTTTTCACCTCTTTAAGGGATGATTTCCAGGGTAAAAACTATCTTGATACTACAAAAACTATTGTATAACAGAAAAGTAATGCACAATGCACAGTGAATAAAATCTTCACCTTACACCCATGTAACTGTAACGAAACCGCCAATCTCCATATTTTCAATAAGGTGTAGAGTTTGTGAAGTTAGGGCGTAGAGTAAGAAGCTTGGCTCTATATGATTATGAGATCTGAAAACTTTTTGACAGTGCGAGCCATATGGTCTCGACTTGGCAACATTTTACATGAAAATGTTTTTGGTGGGATTTATAATATTAGTATAGATGATAAATTAAGATTGTTTATTGGTAATAGCCGCCTTGATTTACTGCCAATAAAAATTCCATAGAGAAAGTCATGGAATTTGTAGAAAAAACGACCGATCAAATATAGCATACGGCCGGAGGCAATTCTTTGATATTTTTTTAACGTACTTTTTATTTTCATCCTCAAAATTAGAATTCATTTACTATTCCTTTAGTAAGTCACCTTTACTCTCAAAGTTTTGAAATTACATGCCTTTAGCTAATATTAATATTTTTAATTATAAGTTGCTTAAATAATTATTTTGTAATATAGTTTTTAAATGATCGAATATTAGGTCCAACATATAGAAGAAATTCTAAAGAAAATAAATACATAAATCACTGATACATTTTATATTAATTCATCTAAAAGCATATCTTAATAGAGCAAAGTGCACTACAAAAGCAGCCACGATATTAATTTTATAAAGTGCGGAAGTTTGTCGGAGCTGTGTCAATGAAAGTTACTTAAAAGCGACTTAGAAGACGTTTAATGTTAATAGAAAAGAATTGAAGATCAAAAGAAAGATATATGTATATTAAAAACATTTTATGAGACCCTAGATAATTTTAGGTAATTAAAAAATATTTAAATAATTATTAAATCGTATACTAGCGACCGAATGCTTCGCCCAGATATGAAGTGACAATCCCGTAAAACTCGTGCCCCTCAGTTGAATCATGCGCATTGATTGCAACATCCACCAGAATACACCTTTATCAGAAATCTTCCCCTGACGTACACTAAATAAAGTTGTGTCACAAATAAAGAAATAGGTATATATTAATTTTTATTTATATGTATGTACATCTCAACTTTGCAACTACTTCTTATCAGTAATTTCATAAATATTCTATGTAATGTATTTCAAAAGACAAAGGCAAATGATAGCTCGTTTAAAACTTCCAGCTTTGTTATATCACTTTGAGAACTTGAATTCACTCATATGTCGCACGTTAACTGACAAGATTCTTGTAAAGCTTAGGAAGCAGAACTTATTGTGTTGAGTTAACCGCAATCGCACAATCGAGAGACTTGATGTTTACGAAATAAAGTAAAAGTTGGTATCTCTTTACATTGCTACATCTGTACTATTTCATAGAATTGCCTTGGTGGTGTAGTGGCTAACATGTAAAGCTGCACATACGGAGGTTCTAGGTTCGAATCCCATGTTGGGCCCAGTTTAGTTATCGAATTTAAGTAGAGCTCGGAGTTAGTAAGTTGGCTGTGCTTCACCCCTGTGCCTCGAAGAGCACGTAAAGCCGTCGGTCTTGCGTCTGAACTCTCGCCGGTCGTGTCGAATTATCGTTCGTCTCATGAATTTTGAGATTGAAAAGAATAGAGAGAGTACTGGTGCGTCTGCGCGTTCACTTGTGCACTATAATATATCCTGCGCAGTTGACTAGTCTCAGTGAAATTGGCCGTCGTGGCTGAAATCGGTCAAGAGGACATAATTTCATGTTGTTTTAAAGTTCTTGTAGTATATAAATATCGTATTATTGAAGTTATACTTCTTTTGGCATGTTTGGAAAAAAATGTGAGAATAACAGAGAGTTGTGACATACGGGATAAAATCTTTGGCTATTTTTGTTTTGTTACGCCAAAGAAGTATATAACTTTTTACGTGCGTATATAAAGTACATACACACGTTTTTTATCGTTTAATATTAATTTGTGTCATAACCACTTCCCACGCGGATAAAATGTTGAATAGTCGAAAAAGACATAGGTTCTTTTTTATGGAATATAGAATTCTAATAATATTTGTGATTTATTTATACTATTTATATCGAAGCATGGTGCAGGTGACACTTGTCTGTACCGTATGAATTGAGAAATGACAATATTCAATCAATTTTATCGATAAAGATTTTCAGAGTAAAATCTCAAAGAAAAAATATTTTAAAATAAACAACTTTTTAAACAACTTTTGAAATAAACAATCAAACTCTTGTCCAAGGTTTATTATGTGATAAAAACGAACGATGAAATTTTTTGTTCTTAATTTATTGCTTAAGAACAAAAATACAAGTACAAAAAGTAATTTCTTTATAATGAACTAGCTACTCACCCTCGCTTCGCTCGGGTTCGTCCCTAGGTTGATTCCCCATACAAACTTTCATCCCCATTTCCACCCCCTACGGGATGATTTCCGGAATAGAAAATATCCTATGCCCCCTTCTTAGGGTCTTAAATAATCTTCTTACTAAATTTCAATCAAAGTAGCAAATCGCTTTGTTTTACTTTTGATTTTGAATGTATTGAAAAATAGTAAAACATTTTATACTTGTGTTGTGTATGCTTGTACAGTTTCACCTGTACATTTAAAGTTAAACTGTATAATATTAATGTGATGATATACGACAAAAACTCAAGACACTTAATTAGCGTCTCAAAAGTATCCTCAAAAGAAATGCACCACTCGAAATAGAATTGCGCTTTTTCAAATCTATTTTGTTCCTTGCCTTTCGGATGACAAAAATTAAAATACACGTTGTTTCGTTTAAAAAAGTACTTTATATGGCGATTGTAAGTTCGAATTTGTGTTTACACAATTAGAACTATCGATTTTTGAATTTTATTCTTTGGGTTGACTTAACATGTCACATGTCGATGCCACTTTTTGAAGAGATACATATATCAATGATTAGAAAGTATAAAAGGTTTTATTCTAGTTTCATTTTAAAATGACTTTATTCTATTTCAAGTTTGCAAATCTAGAGTAATACGTGACAGTACGGTTCTATTAATAATTTTCTGTTTACTGTTTAATTAATCATTCTTATTTACCTACTAGAGACTCACTCTCGCTCCCCTCGGGTTCGTCCCTACTTACGTTTTAACGTTTAGTAGATTTCTCAGAGATGAGATACTTTCCCTCAGTAAAAAGTATTCTATATGTTGATCCCGATAACCAGCTATCATGATACCAAATTTCATCAAAATCCCTACGGTGGTTTTTTCGTGATGCGGTAAAAAAACTATAGATTCGGCATCTGTATCGATAATAATGTCTATTTCAATAAGATTTTTCAAAAAATATTTAATGTACAGATTCGACTTAGTTACACTTTTATTATATGTATAAATTGTATTAGATTTCATGAATATAATATTAGTCAAGTTGTAAATAAAAAATATATCTTTTGTTGCAGACCTTTGCCAATGTTCGTTGAGCCACAATCTCAAGTTTTCGCGTATCCTCTGTCTGGGCCGGTGCGTCTACCGCTACGTCCAGCGCCAGAGCGCCCAGAGCCTCAAGGACCTTTCAGAATGTTCAAGAGTCTAGAACAATCACCCATGCCGGTGAGTTTACATGATTACTTTTTCTTTATTATATATTCTTTACAGCACTTTAAAAAAAAAAACTAAAACATACACAGAAGATGACGATGACAAAGGTAAATAATAGTAAATATTTATGTCTAATTGCAGTCGATAATAATTAGGTTTTATACAATATTTACAAGTTAGAATAAAATTTTATTGAAAAATGATTTAATATTTAATAAAGATAATATATAGCTTCACTGTAGCCCTTGAAAGTATTGATTCACTTGTCTGACATGAACTTTATGTAGAGCTTACTTAGATAGCTAATGTCGACGTAGCATTTATGTAAATCAACGGGGCAGCGATTGAGAAAGAAACCCATGATTTTATGCAACGCCCGACGGTGCAAATGTAGGACTATATCGTTCGCTGAATTTTCTTTTTCTTAAACTAAAAAATCAGACGTTAACTAAAAACTTTAGAAATTAAAGTACATATTTGTATCTGTAAAAATAACGAAATAAAGAAAGCAGGTTTTATAATTACAAGATATTTGATTAGTATCTTTGAGAGATTGAAATTGTTAAAAAATCGCATAAAGAGAATCTTATCAAAACCAAGAACAGCTTGTTGAATTTCAATTTTACTTTATATTTTACAATTCTAAATCACTGCACTACAAAGTTAAGTTTCATTTTAGGCGTTTTTCTTTGAAGAGAGTTAATAGTGACAATTTACCAACATCGAGTCGATATGTCTTAGGGAAGGTTAGGGTGTATAACTTTATGGACACAAAATTCTAATTTTATCATGTAACTGGTGACTTAAATGTAGATTGTGTGATCGTATTCTCATATCTCTACAACAAAGATATTGTTTAGATTTTTAAAAATATTATAGAAAAATGAGGCACAAATAAAATATGTTTAGAGATAACCTCCTCCATAACATCAATATAATAAATCGGAAAAGTCGTAAATATGAGTGGTCTGTTTAAATTAACAATGGACTCAACATTGTTGGAATATTATTTAACAATAAAGGCTAATTATTTTCCCTAATATTTCAATAAACTTCAGTTTCATGTTAAATAATAAAACAAACTTTACTTCTAATCATCTAGAAAGCTGATTTTATATAAACAAGATAATGTAATATCGCCAGTAAGTAATCTTTTTGATAGATTGCTTTATTATTAAAGTGGCAGATAAATATATGATGTACATAATATATAGATATTTATATAAAAATGAAGCGGAGTATTTTATGTAATAGAAATTCAATAACAACCTGTACAATATTGTCAATCTTTTAACTTAACTTAGTCGAAAAGAACAGGATTTTCTTTATTTTACCGGTAATAGTAGTCAGTTTAGAACTCAGTTTTTAGCAGAGAGGATTATTACAAGTTACATTGCACAAGTTACATTACATTTACACGAGTATCTTGTACTATTTTGAATCAAAACTAATTAAAATTAATAACTAATTAAAATTAATAAATTAAAGTTAAAATTTATTTTGTTACTAGCGACACATACTCGCTTCGCTCGGGTTCATCCCTAGGTACGTTTTAACGGTTAGTATAGAATAGATAGACTATATCTAAAACATAGGTACAAATTAAACAGTTCTGGACTTTTTGATTTTTTTTGGGGTTTTCCCTATTATAATAATACTTAAATCACCCTGATACACCCCCAACAAAACAAAAAAAGTATTCAAATCGGCCCAGCCGTTTTTGAGTTTTAGCGAGAATAATGAACGGCAATTGATTTATATAGATATTAAATTATAGTCAATTTGATGAATGCTACTGATACGTGACACCATAATATAAATAAAACCTTATTTTTAATTATATTTGTTAACAGAAAAATAATTATTTTTTAGTCTATTGATGTAATAATAATAATAATAATGAACACTTTATTGCACACCACACAAGAAAATAAATAAAGAAGTGAAATACATAACAATAAAAAGATGCACAGCAGGCGGCCTTATCGCTAAAAGCGATCTCTTCCAGGCAACCTTAGGGTAGAGGAATCAGTATATAAAAATGGTAGGCGGTGTACTTGTATAAATACATACCTATACACAAACATATATACATACATAAATACATACATACATACATACATACATAAATACATACACAAATACATACATACAAACATATATGCATACAAGCAGTATAATAGAAAAATATAATCAGTATTTAAGTTACGTATTTCAAATAAATACATATAAGATACATACAATATCAAATATATTGTACATAATATATTATAGTAAGACCAACTAAAGAGATAAATAATGCGTTTTTAACATCATCTTAAACTTGTCCAAATTATCAGCCCGTCTGATGTGTACTGGTAAAGAGTTCCATAGACGTGCAGCTTTCACAGAAAAGGAGTTGGTAAGAAAACAAGAGGAGTGAGAAGGAATTTTGAGGATAAGCGTTTCACTAGAACGCAGGGAACGAGTATGAGAATTCCTTAGAAGCTCGAAACGCTCTTTGAGATAGGAAGGGGTAGAAGGATTAAACAGCACGCAGTAGAGGAGATGAAGTATGTGAGTATTCCTGCGAAAGCGGATTGGGAGCCACTTGAGTTTTTTGCGAAAGTGAGAAACGTGGTCATATTTACGGAGACCGAATATGAACCGTATGCAAAGATTTTGAAGGCGCTCAAGTCGATTCAGGTGCTCCTCTTTAAGGCCAAGAAAACAAATATCAGCATAATCAAGTATTGGTAATAAAAGTGAATTTGCCAGCGCAATTTTAGTAGGTACAGGCAGAAAATTTCTCAACCTGCGAAGGGAGGAAACAGCTCCAAACATCTTGCGGCTCAGTACACTTACCTGGGGCCCCCAGGATAAATGCTGGTCAAAAATGATTCCTAGGTTTTTTACTGTTTCGGTAAAAGGAATTTCAACATCGTTTAACATCACCGATGGTATCAATGACTGAGTAATTTTAGAATGCAGTTTCTGGCTGCCTATTATAATAGCTTGCGATTTAATAGGGTTAATATCAAGGCCATATGATTTACTCCAAGCAGAGATTCTGGCAAGATCATTATTAATTAAATTAACTGTATGAGGTAAGTCTGATAGAGATGTGGTTGCGTAAATTTGTAGGTCGTCGGCATATAGGTGGTAGAGAGAAGAAATTTGATGGCAAATAGAATTAATGAAAATTGAAAACAGGAGAGGAGACAACACGCCACCTTGTGGGACACCGGCATTAATCGTATTCCAATCAGAAAAGGAATCCTCAATTCGTATACGCTGCCGGCGGCCACACAAGTAACTACGAAACCAGTCAATCACCTCAGGAGATATGTTAAGAGAAGTTAATATGGCAATTAGTATATCAAAATCAAATAGTGTCTATGTCAATACATTAACGCTGAGCTTTTAAATCTTGCGGTATGCAATAAAATTTCTTTGAAGTATAAAGTTAGCCTCGAGCAGTGATTGAGCAAAGCGGGTACTTAGAGCCAGAGGCGGTTCATAAAAAGAATTTTCCTTTTTAGTTACCCGCGACAACTTTTACTCTATTCCTATGTAAAATATCTTTTAAATTAGCTAATTTGCAGTTTTTATGTTTTATTATTTTCTCTCTGCTTAAATCTTTTTCCTACGATACATACTTAATATTCAACTACTAATAGAAGTGTCGTTATCAAGCACTTAGTGTTACAATCCATACTTAATATTATAAATGTGAAAGTGTGTTTGTTTGTTTGTTTGTTTGTTTGTCTTTCTTTCACGTCGAAACGGAGTGACGGATTGGCGTGATTTTTTGTGTGTAGATAGTTGGAGGGCTGGAGAGTGACATAGGCTATTTTTTACCGCGGGAAATAATCTCATTCCCACGGGAAAACAATCCAAAAAAATATTCATGATCAGAATTACTTGAAACTCGGTAGGTATTAATGCTCTCCAATTAAATTAAATAAACACGTGTTTTAGTATTTTTCGAAATTCATCCTATAAGGGGGTAAAATAGGGGATTCAAGTAACTACCTTTTTAGAGTTTTTTTTTAGTTTTAGCGCGAGCAAAGCCGCGGGTTCTGCTAGTTGATAATTTTTATTAGAAATGCAAAAGTGTTTCTCTGTGTGTACATTTGTCACGTTCAAATGGCTGGATGGATTTAAAACTTAGTACACTGATAAACTATGGCATGGAGTAATATATAGGTATATAATGTTTGGTGTCTAGCGGCGCACACGAATGAAGCAAGGCTAAGTAGCTAGTACTAAAATAAAAAGGGGAAAACATGATATACTATAAAAATATAATTTACTTAGCTGGCTGGACAAGTCTAAATAAATAATAATAAATATAATCATATAAATAATTATATTGCCGTTTCATAATGAAAAATATTGCAGTCAGGCTTATAATATAAAAATAAGTATCGATAGGTCATTGCACCGTTACTGGTTTCGCAGCCTAAATGCACATGGGCTTATGCAACAACTATCCGGTTTTGGCCAACGATCACCTAGTTTTTTTACTTCAACATTCGTTAGTCTTTGTACTCGATGATAATCCACTTAAATGTAAGCTAGGTACGGAAAATTTTAAATACGTTAAAACTGTCCTTAAGCCCTTAGTTGGCTGAATTTTGTCTGATTTATTAATGTTAATAATACTTTAGATCTTTCACTTTGATTGTACCTTAAGTAAATATTACATGCATATAATACTATTTGTAACTCCAGGTCACAGTCTATCGGTGTACAAAATTTCATTCAAATCCGTCCAGCCGTTTCAGCGTTAATAAGTAACAAAAACACACACACACCCATTTTTTTGCATTTGTAGTAGTAGTACGACTGTTTAGAAATGCGTTAGCAGTGTTTTAATTGTAAAAAACTTAACAATATCATAAGTAATTGCGATACTGTGCGCATATATTGTCGGTATAAGATGATAACTGGAAGAGTTTTAATAAAAATTGAATAATTACGATTAATTTAATATTTGAGTCACTAGTGTAAGAAATTTTATAATTTGA